GAGATTCAATCGGGAAATAAGAATTTCTTAGCAGTAAGAATGATTGATCAATTGCCTCTAGGAGTTGTGATGCTTTTCAAAGTTTTCAATAAAAGATATGACATCTGTTTGTCGGAGATGGTATAAAAACTCTTACCTTGAGCAGAGAGTTGGACTAGAAGACCTCCAAGGTCCCTTCCAGCCCTATGATTCTATTAAAAGATTGCAAACAGTGATCATAGAGAGGCTTGGCAAACAGATTGCCAAAAAACCCAAACTATAATCATGAGATTGTGGATACATGGCACATTTTACAATAGCTGGAAGTGCTTCAGAGGCTGTTAAAAAAAAACTATTGTAACTTTGATAACTACCTGTAGTAATTTTGTTTTATTTCACTTTTAAATATGTTTTTAAAAAAATATGCATAAACATATGCATTCAATAAACAGAAAGAAAAAACAAGACTTTTTTCTTTTCATACAAACTTCTCTTCTTGGTCAACCAAGGGTGAAATTGTCTTATCACAGGTAAGTAAATAACATGGAATGTTTAACAGACTCTGGGAAGATAAAGACAGAGCAGGATCATTACAAAAAAAATGTATTTAGTTCAGAAGACTAAACACTCCACCTGCATTGCAGAGAGTATAAGCTGACTTGACAAATGGCTTTTGCAGTTTTTAAGATTCTGTTACATTATCTACTAACAATACATGCATTCCAGAAATCCAGCTTTGTTTTTGAGTTTTGTTTCTGAGAGCTTGATGTAAGATATCTTATTATCTATTTGCTATTTACCTGTTAGCATCTATTTACATGTCTGAGTGAAATAAAGGCACTGAAACCAAGGACTTTTAAGGTAACTTTTACAAAACAGTGCAAACTAAAAAGTAAAAAGAACATTGTTGAGTACTTGTCCACAGCCCATTTGTGGTCTATAGACACAAATAAGTCCTCAACTTACAACCACAATTGAGTCCAAAATTTCTGTTACTAAGTGAAACATTTGTTAAGTGAATTTTGTCCCATTTTATGATTTTTTCTTGCCTTTTTGTTATTAAGTGAATCCCTGCAGTTGATAAGTTAGTATCCCAGTTGTTAAATTAACCTAGCTTTCCATTGACTTTGCTTGTGAGAAGATCGCAAAAGGTAAACACATGGCCATAAATATGAACCAGTTGCCAAGCATCTGAATTTTGATAACCTGATCATGTGGATGCTGTTGTAACTGTGAAAAATGGTCATAAGTCACATTTTAGTGGCATTATAACTTTCAACAGTCATTAAATGAACTGTTGTAAGTTGTGGACAACTTGTATCTTGTGATATCATATTCTGAATCAGAAACTTCAATTAACATGGCTACATATGGCAGCATTTTTAACCAACTACAAAGAATTATATTGGCTGCTGAAGGATGGGAAGGGTAAGGTAGGGGAAAAACATCAGTTTCAGTTTCTATAGGAGAGCTGAGCAGACAAGAATTTTTTTTCCATCAGTAGCACAGATTGCACAATTTTCCTTCCTTAAGCAAGGAATGTGCTTTATAAGTCTAGATGTCTATCTCAAAGGTGTGAATTTAACTCCTAACTCAGCAGAAACATCTCCTGTAAGATACATGTCAGAGAGGAATCTCTGTATTATTGCAGCTGTCATACCAATATTGTAAAGCTATTGTTTCTTCAACCTCATAAATTGTTTCATTTTTCTCTTCTGGAATCACTGTTCCTGCAACTGCATCAAGCAAATTTTGATGATGATGACCCAAGCTCTGTAAAGGACCTTGGAATACTCACCTCTAATGATCTAAGTGCTAGAGCCCACTGCAACTACATAGCCAAAAAGGCATTAAGAGTTGTTAACCTAATCCTACGTAGTTTTTTCTCTGGTAATATCACACTACTAACCAGAGCATACAAAACATTTGCTAGACCAATACTCGAATACAGTTCATCAGTCTGGAACCCTCATTACGTATCTGATATTAGCACAATTGAGAAAGTCCAGAAATATTTCACAAGAAGAGTTCTCCACTCTTCTACTCGTTGTAGAATACCTTATGCCACCAGACTTGAAATTCTAAAACTAGAAAACCTTGAATTACGCCGTCTTCGGTCTGACTTAAGCATGGTATATAAAATCATACATTGCAATGTCCTACCTGTCAATGAATACTTCAGCTTCAACCATAACAACACAAGAGCACACAATAGATACAAACTCAAAGTAAACCGCACCAAAGTTGATTGCAGGAAATACGACTTCAGCAATAGAGTGGTCAATGTCTGGAATACTCTACCCGACTCTGTAGTCTCTTCCCCAAACCCCAAAAACTTTAACCTTAGACTGTCTACTATTGACCCTTTCCTAAGAGGTCTGTAGGGGGCGTGCATAAGCGCACCATCGTGCCTACCGTCCCTGTCCTATTGTTTCTCTTATTCTTTTATTTTTCTTATATGTACCCATTTCATGTATTCACAACTATGTATACACTTATACTTATTATCTTGTAAACAATTGGCAAATCAAATCAAATAAATAAATAAATAAATAAATAAAATTTCAAAAACTGTCACACATGTATAAATTGGATGGCATATAAGTCAAATAAATACTGTACTTTCTTTTGCCTCTGCGGGTTAAGAGATAGTGATAACAACGACTGGATTAACACATCATGGAAAACACATCACGGTAATTCACCAATAACCAGGGTACCTAACAGTTTAATGTGACATGTAAACTGCTATGTTCAGGTTTAGCTTAGTAACTAATAACAGTTTACTATATAACCTGAACTCAGTCACTCTGTATGATCTGTAAATCATTTATTCAACAAGCCAATGGCATACCATAGTGTGTATGCTCAGTCAGGGAGCAGCCCAAAGTAACTCAGTGACTAAGTAGATATCTGAACCAGGGCTTTCACAATTCCTGTATGACAATCAATATATCATAAATCCTTTTCCTGCTACTAAAATCTAGCCAACTATATTTGAGTCAGCAAAAAATTACTCCAGTTTCAAAACCTGAAATTTGCCTCCCACATTGCTGATCCATATCCTGCTACTATCTCTGTTCTGACTCACTGCAGAAAGTTGCTATCCTAACTTAGTGCACTCACAATCAGCAAAATGGCAAGTATGCTGTTCTCCCTCTTCAGCCGATCATCAGGCTACAGGAAAAATACCCACCATTCATAGTGCTGCAAAAGGAATTGGGGGGGGGTCTGTTTCTTTCCTGTGCCTCTCCACCTGTATCCCATTCTGAATAAAATTTTTAAAAACAATCATGAAAATATCACAGACACTTAAAATTTCTCTTTCCTTTCTTTATACAATTGATCAATAGCAACGTACAATTTCCTCATCAGAAAGTAATGGGAGGTAAGCATATCAATATTTCTCTATATTGTGCTATTTCAGCCTGTTATGACACTTCACCCTTATACCATTATAAGCCTTGGAACGAACTTAATTTTCCCTATATTCCGTCATGTCCAGCAGATTGACAGCAGAGAAGTAGATTGGGAAATGGAGGGAAAAATAGCTTGAAACAGGCAATCTCACTTACTACTGGTCATGTGATTCTATCTCTGACATAGTGGGTGGCAAAGCAAAACAGATTTCACACATCTTGCAGCTTCCACTAGATGCTCACAATGATTTACATTTGTCTCATAGGGTGGGGATGGGATGAAGACATCCCAGGGATGTCATAAAAATGTTGTCTGTATTATAGTTAGGAACAAGGATAAAAAGGCCCAGGATTCAGAAGCCAATCCCATTAAATTCAATCAAGCACAGACTATACTATTAATTTAGTTTACTAGCCCATATATATTGAACACTAGGACTTGCTTTAATAGCAGCTATATGACTATATAGTTAATAAGTTGGAATAGCAATCAAAAATGTACAGCAAATCAGGCCAAAGTCTTTTTCAATTCCTCTTTTAGTAACATAATTGGAACAAGTGACAAATAGTACATCTTTTATTACTTAAAAGCACAAGCTAAATATAACCATGGTTGACTTTGCAGGGGGGTGGGGAAGGTCAAGTTTTTTGTGCAGTGTGATTTTTATGGCCAAATATAAACTGCTGCTCCAATCCTGACCACAGAGATAAGATACCAAACTTAACAATAGGGAGATTTAACTTGACCCTTCCAGTTCTGCGGACTGAAGATCTTTAGCTAGTGAATGTTTTTTCTCCCCACAACACAGAGAATTGGCAAAAAGAAACACTACAGGTTTCCATTTTGCAAGAACAGCAGCAAAAGAAGGAACTGGAAATTTTAAGATTAACTAATATACATGAGGGAAGAGATTGATGAAGTTTATCTTTTTAAAATGATAAACACAGAAGTACAAAAGGGAACAGCCACACCAATAATTCATTTTGAAAAAAGCTACTGGATCTGCAGAATTTGCTCTATATTTTAGTCTTCAATCCTGTGCATGCTATTTAAATTCCATTGAATCTAGCCAGTTTTATTGTGACTTTTCACATTACCTTTCAATTTATCAGAGCAGTTGAGGAAAATGTGATACACAGGACAGTTCTGTAAAAGTTTACTCAAAAGTAAACCTTACTACAATTAACAAAACTTTCTCCCAAGAAAGTATGTATCTAGCATATAGGTATTGTGCATTCTCCTGTTCTAGAGTCAATAATACTCTCATTAAACATTGACCTCTGTCAGTGCAGGTAGAGTTATAAGCAACTTTTTCAAAGTCCTTTCTCTAACTGCCTCATGCTTGATTCATATCAAAAAATCTTGAACTTCCGCATAAAAGGTTTTAAAAACTTTAAATTTCAACGATTCCACAGACTTCATCGATACTAAGAAACCACTGTTGGAACTTAGGTTTGTTTTAAACATACGTGGAGGCTCGAATCTGTGAAAGATTTGGAAATAAATACTACAGAAAACTACTCAGGCGTTTCAAGTTCGCCAAGATCGAAAATTACAAATAAGAACGGTAAAGAGATAGTGCGGGCTAAGACGATGCTTACAATCTAAATAAGCGCTCCATATCCTTGATCTGCCGGCGAGTGAACTCTTTAAACTCCGTGTAGGGATTGAAGACCTGGGCGAGGCGGGGCTCTGCCGCGCCGGCATTAATGTCCTGCCTGCGAGTCAGCTTGGCGCTCAGCTCCGGGTCAGCAGCTGCATTCAGCGCACTGCGATCCTCGGCCGGGTCGGCCGGGTCCTCGGGGCTCGTTTCGGAACCCACCGGCTCAGGAGCAAAGCTGTCATCCTCTTCTGCAGGAGGCGCCTCCGAGGTGCTGCCGTCTCGAAGCAGTCGTCTCTGCAACTTTTGGGCCAGTTCGGACGAGGCCATGGTCGAAAAAGTACGAGCGTGCCCTGGAACCACCGCCGCCGGGCTCTCTTCCTTTCTTTGCTAAAAGCTTACCCGCCCCGCTAACAGCAAACTTTATTCTAGGACTTTGGCGAATTGGCGGGGAAGGAGGGCCGGGGGCGGGGAAGCGGCGAGAGGCCGGGCTGAGACTTAAGGAGGCGCCAGAGATTGGCGCGCCATCGCAGTAAAGTCTCTGTCTCTGGGGTTATCCCTGTCGCGGAAGTTCAAACTCTTACAGTTTCCCCCGTTATTTTTTTTTCCGCTGCACCTGTCACCGAATCCGGTGTTGATCCTTTATTTCTCTCTGGCTGTAACAAACACCTGTTGTTGCACTTTTATGATAGCTGATGAACCGCTGTATTCAATCTCCGAGCAAAAAGTGGATTGGCTTGGGTCTTAACTTAATAATGAAAATGTATAATTTATAACTCTGATTAAAGCTGCACTCTAATGTGCGTTTGGTTTTGCCTTTCCATCTCCTGTCAGATGTCATTAGGGGCTGTCAGATGTCAGAGATGCCTTTTCGGATTTGATGGAAGAGAGGAAAAGTAATAACAAACCTGCCTTGGATAGATTTAAGATTAAATTGTAAACAGTATATTTTAAAACAGGAGTGCGGTATCTCTTGGAGCTGGTGTGAAATTTTGGGAACATGTTCTGGTGCTCTCCAAATAATAGTTGTAGGGTTTGCCTGTTCACAAAATGGCTGACAAGAACAGTTGCAGAGCATTGATTCCCTAAAATGCTTTGCAACCAGTAATAGAGCAAGTTCCTCTTCCTCATGTTTACACTGTTCTTTTTCAGTGTATCTGGGAACACTTCCAAACAAAGCACTGGCCTGCAGTTATCCATTTTTATTCCTTTGGAAATCTTATGGGACTCTGAAACATACTTAGAAATGTTATGCCAGGTTCGCATTTCATTTTGCAAGATGCCAACACATTTTAAGTCAAATGGAATAGGAAATCTGGTGCCAAAATGCCTTGTTGGCCTCAACCTCAACCATTCAGCATAATGATGGATTTTTTTTCTTAGAAAATAAATGTTCCTGTTATATCATTTCTGGGTACAGCCCAAAGAGCCTACAGCTATAACCTCACTATACACTATATTCATTCCTGATTAAAGTGTTATGTCAGAAACTAACCAGATATATCATTGCCAATCTGTCAGTGCAAGCTGAAGTATGGCTCTATTTTTTGTTCTAATATTCTATATATGACATCTTTAGTGAATTGTGTATATTTAGACATATAGATAACATTGGCTTCTGACATGCATTTACCTGGCAGTAAAGTTAAATAGAGTAATTTTAGTCTTAGAATGAATTCACTGGAAATTATCACCAGGTAAATATATATATAATACGGGGTTTACAGTCATAAATATTTTTAGACAGTCATGTAAATCAGTGGAAAGCAGGCATGTTAAACACATGTTAGCCTATCAAGCAGTCTTGGGTGACTCACTGACATCTTGGGGGTGGGGGGAGGAAATGAATCCACTGCTGCCATCAGAAAAGATCAAATAGTTGATTAGCACAACAACTATTCCTTTGTGCCCCACAGTTAAGATATCTGGCACTTTCTCTACAAGATGTGCAGAGTACTGGTATAAAAAAATTAATAAACATGCATAGAAGCCATTAACATTTTACTTTTTGTTAATCTTGGGTATAGGATATTAAGGTTGAAGTTTGATGCATGCTATCTTGGAATTTAAATTTCACATGAAGCAATATTACTATTAAATGGAAACTTCAAACTAAGGCCCATTGCAATAACATACATAAGACTGTTCAGAATATAGTTGTCTTTATTCCTTTTGAGCTATTTGCCACATATGAGAAGCAGAGGTGCTATTCAGCAGGTTCTGACCAGTTCTGGAGAACCGGTAGCAGAAATTTTGAGTAGTTCAGAGAACCGGCAAATACCACCTCTGACTGGAGATTTTACAGTATCTTTCCTCTGCCATGCCCATGAAGCCATGCCCACAGAACCGGTAGTAAAAAAAATTGAATCCCACCTCTGAGAAGAATCAATCATGTCCTATTTATGCTTTAATACTTGTTCTATTCTATATTATGTCTTCCCTTGTTCTGCATGTAACATTTTTCATAATCTATTTTACAAGTGCAGGACATAATAGTAATAAAAACAACAAGCATGTCTTCTATGTGCTACTAATAAGGAAGAGAAGGTTCTTTCCCTTTTACTCATTTTGAAATTAGGCTTTGTAATCCCAAATGATGCGGGGTGGGGGGGAAGAGTGATACAATAGTGAGAACTATTTTTATAGACATTTAAATGTGCTTGTCCTTTTAGCCTATTCTGTACTATGGAAAGTGAAAATTACTGAGAACAATTAGGATAGGAGCTAACACTGTACATATAGAATTTGTACAGCAGAATATTCTAGTAACAACTTCTGCTTTTGCAGGCACGTGCAAAAATTATGGGAGGAAAGGAAATTGCATATACTTGCACATGTATACATGTACAAATACACACTCTAATAACAGTATAAAGTAAGTGGTAACTTTAAAGTACCATAATACTCTTTGTTTTGAGGGTTATTTTTAGCTTAAAAAATTACCATTAAAGTTCTGGTCCACATCACTACTTGGGAAAATAATTTAAAACCTATCTAGAACAAATGTCAAAAAAGCAGGAAAGTGTTCTTTTAAGAATGTTCTTTTTGTAATTCATGCTTTTACATATTAATCCAGAATTATTGCCATTCAAGAATTTGTGTGCTTGTATGTAAAATCTCTACAGTTTTAAATTGTTACTAATTAAATTGTTTCATGCGATGTTGGTATTAAGTAATTCATCTTGAAGTTCAACTCCCAAATGACATGTAACTTAGATTTTTCTAACTTCATTAGATTTTTATTAAATTCCTCAATAAAATGTTTCACTATCCTTTTCTTTAATAGCACACAAGTTAGGTAAAAAATGTCAGAGGTTTTCTTTAATTTTTCCAATGTACCTTTTCATGTGGAGATTATTGTGCCTAGAAGTTGAGAGAACAATGATTATCAGAGGGTTCTAGAATAAACTCATAATTTTGTCAGAAGAGAAATAAAAACATAATTTTGTTATAGATAACATGCTATAGCTGTTGGAAAAAAATGATGTGCTTCAGATATCAGAGAAAAGCTTTATGTTTTCTAAAACATCAATGGAGCTGTTTGAATGTGAATGTTTGCACTAAACAGAAAACTGGCTTTAGCTAAATGTCTCCTATTATATTTTTCAAGGCAAGAGCTTGTAATTTGTCTATCCCAGGAGGGAACTTCCTTAAATTTACAGAGGCACATCTCTCACATTTTTCCTGAGATCTAAAATAATCTAGAATGAAGTCACAAATGTAACATTATTAACACTATACTTTGACTTTCTGTCTTCCAGAAAAAATCAGCAGAGATTTTCTTTTCTATATGAAAGTACAGTAACCATAATCTTGTTTACGCTTTTATTCTATCAGTATCTTTGCCACAAGAAATCAATGATAAGCCACTAAAATTTCTGAAGTACATTTTTCCTAAAAAGTAGCTAGTCAGTCAGAACTGGTAGAAAGTAATGCCTTTATCTAAAACCCTGTTAAGTGCCTGCTTCAAACAGTAATTGTCCAGAATACTGCCTGACATTATATTTATTTTTGTTAAGATAACCAGAATTCCTGAAAATAAAAGCTGAGTATCAGAAAAGCCAATGCAGCAAAAAGTAGCAAGGAAGTATTCAGATTCAGGTTTCCTTTCCTAGTAATTGTACTAGTTTTCTTTTCTAGCCGCAGAGCACTGGTGTTTATCATAAATAATGTTGATCTTGAGGAAGTCCAGACAGAAAAATTCCAAAGAAGTGGAAATTCCAAAGGAGCACATTTTAACCCTTTTTCTTTGCTTATTCCACATAATAAAAGAGTTTTGTTAAATGAGCCCTTAAATAAAGTCTTTGTTAACACTTTATGCATCTATAAGGGCATAAGCAGAAGAGTCAGAGAAGCATAAGAAAAGAACGGACTTAGTCATTGCCTGAAGTATGGTTTTGAAGAGTTAGTTCTAAATGGGTGAGCACATGCACACAAGGCTTATCTATAATATATGAAGAAAAAAATAAAAAAAATATTTGATCATGTGCATATGACTTAGCACTTGTTCCCTGCTTCTAGCATGATTAAGAAAGCACAGCGTTTATATCAAAAGATGTGATTTATTTACCTTTGGATCATCTTTTTATTCCTTCTGTTCATTTAATTGTTGGTTTCAAACTATTTGGTAGCATCTTTCTTGCACTTACTCTTTTGGGGATGGGATGATAATAGCAATATAGAATGAAATGTAACTATTGAATATCATAGCACATATAAGGATAAGCATGAGGATAGTTTCAGCCAATTAAAAATGAAGAATTGAGGAGGAAACTTCAATTTTTAGCTATTCAGTTCACACTTGCACTGAATAATGGTTAATCATCATATAGTGGTAACAGTGAGGATATGATTCTATCTCCAGCTGAGGCTAAAGTCAGCTACTCAGCCATTGTGTTGTTTTGCCAATGAGCCAAGTATTACAAACTTTGCCAAATTATTGGAGAACATACTTCTGTTTCTTGGGCAAAGGTGTGTGTGGATATGTATGTGTGTAAATAATGAGACTTTAATTCTAACCTTCCTCCGAACTTGTCATGTAAAAAAAAGTTAGAGAAATGATAATAAAAATTATAATGCTTTTATAGATCAATTGGCAAAGAAATAGAAAAATCGGTAGTTAAGATAGAAAAAATATGAAGATTATGCAAATATGAATATCACTAAGTCAAAACTGGCACTCTTGCAGTGGCAACAGCTGAAGATTGATGTAAGGTTGCACTTTGCCTATAGCACTCTTTTTCATAAGCACTATGGTGATTGCTGCATCAAAAGGTGTGTATTTCTTGCAGTGTGTGACTAGAATAATTTAATCATTGATTTCTCTTTAG